AAGCTGAACCATACATTTTTGCCTTTGTTGGTTTAAGGATCACTGACATTTGAAAGGAAAACTTCTAACACAAGAACAGACAGCTTCCCCATTTCCTATTAGCTTCTAATGACTGGGGCGTGCGGGCTTGTCAAACTCCCCTAATGCCAGTACGTTTGTTCTGGACATATATGTTTATGTTAAAGTTTATTTGTTTAGCTTTGTTACCTCTTTTTAACCTGAAAGTCCAAAGAATGCAGGTTTGAATTCACATCAAGATATCAACAGAGGACATGTAACTTCAAAAGGATTAAAGGGTTCATTTTCTGGTTGATAGTTCGCCACCTTATTGTCTCATAGATATGTTATCGATTTTTCTGGATGTATGGCATTGAATGTGTCTACTTTGAAATTATTTTCCCACAGATATATTATTGCTCAAAACTTTTCACATCTGATCTGCAACTTAGTCTGGTAGTGTCACCTGTTTGTCTCCTTGGAGATAGATATGTCACATGACATACTGTGGAACATTGCCTGTGCAATAACAATGAAAATGTCCAAAATCAAGAACAAATATTTATGAATATAAAAGTGAAGTCAAACTCTTGTTATCACTGGACATCACCAGTCTCCAACCTAAATCTACAACAGAATTACCGGTACTAAAAGACCAGAACAAACATGACACTGATTCCAAGATCCTCCATTTCAGAAAATAATTAAATCAGTATATTTATTACATTTCAATCTTTTTTTTTTTTTTATTTAATTTCTGTCGAGTAACCAGGTTATCCATAAAATTGGAGTTAATAAGTCAAAACAGAAATGATCTGCAACTTGGCCTGCTAGTGTTACCTGCTTGTCTCAGTAGAGATAGATAAGTCAGATGTCATACTGTGAAACATTGACTATGGAATAACATTTCCTCACGGACAAACAGGTGATACTTTAGTGTAAAATAAAAGGTGTAAATAAATAGTAACCACAAAACAAGTTTAAAGTTTAAAGAATAGCTCTAAAACTTAAGTGCATTATACAACAAGCAAAAAGTTTAATTGCTTCACACATAGAAAAAATGCCTATATGATTTTGCAGTTTCTCTTACCTGTGTACATAAAAAAGTAGAACTACAGTATCTATAACTCTACAGAATAAGGCTTGGGAAAGGCGTAGAACTACTCTCACTCTAGGACACCACTTTACACATCGATCACTGTATAATCGACGCTGTCAACAACCTCTCCAGACGCTACATTTTAGGGGAGAGTGTCCATAAACATTATAACCAACATTTCTAATCTGTGGATCCTAATCTGCTTCAACTATGCATGTGTTTATTTCTTTATGCAATTTGGCCCCATGAAAACACCTCTTTCACCTTCCCATTATTTTCCTATGGGCTTTGAAGTGCCTTGACTATTGGCGTTGCATTTAAACAGTAGCAATGTGGATGCAATTACCGTCCGCGGGTCAGTTTGTCTCTTGAAGGTTTAAGTGGGCTGTAGAGCTGGAAGATTAGAGACTACACAGTATGTTTAGGGCAATGCCAGTTGTGATTCTGGGGTTGCCTTGGTCCCTATGAAAAAAAAAATACTAAAGGAGAGGTTTGCGCTGTGAAGTTAAGGCTATATTATAATGTTGTTTACTCAATGGCAGCGCAGCCCCTAGGATCTGTAAACCACTGATTTCAGGTTTGGAAACTTTCTTTTCAACACTCTCTGTATACCACTTTAAAGTGTTTATGTGCCTAATGCATAGTTAGTGTTCACTTGCTCTGCCCATTACACACAAAAGAAGGGAAAATATTTAGCATTCCTATCGTCATGATGCAATATTTGGACATTTTTGTCAGCAATCTTTAATTTTACAATTCATGTGAGAAATCGAATATCAAAGGACTGACGTAGTTTAGTAATAGTAGGTACACACTGTAGATGTATGGTTGATTTTTGACTCAAAATTAGGTCAAGTAGGTGTAGAGGTGGAAGTAGCTGTAGTAGAAGTAGTCACAGTAATAGTAGTAGCAGTAGTAGTGGTTTCCAAACTCAAAAGGTTCAAAAGTGGGTCAACTTTACAGCTAGATTGAATGTATTTAAAGGCATGCACTCACATACAATGCATAGGCAATTAATTAAACAAAAATATTAGATCCAGATCTTATGGTAAAGATGATGGAAAACTTACTGGCTGACAGTAAAGTGTAGCAGTCAAGAGTAATTTAGCAAACTTACTTAACAGAATGCTTAGAACTTATGTCCACAGGTTTCACAATTGGAGTTCTCACTGCTAGGTCCAGAAAATGAAGACAAAACATTGAAAGAGCCCAAAATCAAAAACAGATGTTCATGAATATAAAACTGAAGTTAATTCAAACTCTTGTTATCACTGGACACCACCAATCCGGTAATAAACTCCAACCTAAACCTGTAACAGACTTATTAAAAGACTAGAGCAAACATGATTGACAGTGATTCCAAGATCCTCTATTAGAGAATTAATGAAGTCAGTTATTACATTACAGTATTATTATTTTTCTTTCATTTGTGTCAAAGAACCAGGTGTTCCATAAAACTGAGTTAATAAATTGAAAGAAAATATATTTTGAAAAAGATATACATTTTGTTCAGATTACACCAAATTTTAAAGGTGCATTATGTAAACTTTATGTTTGGGGGTTCACCATCTGCTTGTCTTCATAGAGATTTTCTTGCTTTGCCTAGAATATTTCATTTTCAAATACAGTTACATGTGTTCTTATTTAAAACACACTGAATAACATAATAACTTAGCCTTGTCTCCATGGAGATTGGTAGGTTTAGTACTTGCTGTGTTTATATTCCAGGAAAAGCAATTACATCTTCATGGAAACAAGTAGAAAAGTTGCATAGTACACCTTTAATTAAAGAAAAAAAAAAAAAGTAAAAGCAAAAGTTTGACTGTCAGTGCAGTGGGTGGCCTTGTGTCCCTATTGCCAATTGCATCTTATCTATTTTAAAAGTAGTCATAACTCCTAAACATGTGTATGCAAAAATACCTACACACCTACATACGCAGACAAATAGATGCGTTACAGAATAAACAACATGGATTAGGGGATTTCAAAGTATGTGTTTTTTAGTTGATTCAAGATTATTATCGAAACGTGGGACAAAATCAAAAACGAATTTCTATCTATTCATCTATGCATGACGGTTTCAAGTAACTATTTCCTAATACTTGTATATCTTTGCCATGATTGGAGGCACAAGTTGTGTAAAAAGTTGAAAAAGCATTACTGTATATGTTTGGGTAGTGCCTGCATCCATCAGTGATATTTGATATTCACCATCAGACCAGGACCACCAAGGTTTTAATGCGGGGCCAATCTTTCTTCATTCTTTGGTTGTACAGTGGAACAGTGAAGTGGCAACCTATAAGCAAACAAAAGTGACGGAGTGACCCCATGTGCATTACATCAGAAACAGAATCAGATTTTCTAAATGTGTACAGTATAAATCTAACTAACAGTCAAACTTAATTTTCTTATGTCATTGCGTAGTTTTTCCCTCTACAATGGTTCAAAAGGTTGCTGGGTGGGTGAGTTGCATACCAGTAGTGATAGGAAGAATACTTTGAACCTGTATTTAGTTACAAAATACTGAATACCTGCATTATCAAGTATTTTCTAATGTACTGTTTTACATAGTCCAGTAAGAGTTTTGTATTCAAAATACTTGCACAAAATTGACTCTTGTGAGCTTTAAGACACGTTACAATGTTGTTACCTCACCAAAAACATACCTGGAGTTGTGTTTTGTTTCATTCACACATGTGTAAGTCATCCTTTATTACTGGTCTGTCTACATCTCTATAGGTCAAAACACTTGGTTGCACCTTGTGATGTCACGAAGAGGTAGTTTTCAAGAACGGCTACCTTTTACTTGCCAGGCTGGTGCCACCTAGTGTCCCTGTTCAGTTTTATTTCTCTCCAGTGACTAGGTCAGGTCATACACTAGACGGTTTGCATGAACCCGGGAAGTTATAGACCATGCACCAGCCAATCAGTGCATTCGAAGAGGTGTGAAGCCATGATGTCAAACTCAAGCGCCTGTCTGGGTCCCTTTTTTGGAACAGCACAACAGTAAACAAAGTGGTCGAGATGGATGTTGACGAAGCCATACATTCTGTGTTGACAAACATTCCTGAGATCGAGGATTTGAAGCCAGAACAAAGAGAATGTTTGGTGAAATTTATCATGGGTAAAGATGTTATTGCCCTTCTTCCTACCGAATTTGGTGCATTATATATGTCACAACCAAATAGCAGCGATTGGTTAAATAAAAAATGTGCCTGCCTACCGTCGAGTCAACGAATCCTAATGCTGCGAGGTCAGACGGTTTCCATGAAATTAAAGTGGCTGTTGAATCAGGCAAACCTTTTACCTTTAGTTCAGTGAAGATTGTCAATTCCAAGACTGAAATCATTCAAATGATATTTGTGAGGGTGTATGGAGTGGGGCGCTTCCTGTATTACATTACATCACAAAGTGGAACAGAGCATTTTTCATTTGAGAGAAAACCTCAGTCTAAATATGCAGGGTTTGTGAATTGTGTGTGTGTGTGTTTGAATGAAACAAAGTATGTGTGAATGAAACAAAGCAACAAAACCGTGGTATAGTGGGTTTGGTGTATGCTCATTAACCAGAGGGTCATCATTTCAAACATAATGTGTCACTGAGCAAGACACTTCATCCACAAATACTTTAAAATGAGCAACTTTATTGTAAAAGCAGAAGTTGAATGCAGACTCCATGACCCATGACCACAGGGTTGGGAATTTTGCAGATTCTTACTATTTAATTTCATATCACATACTACAATTGATCCAAAACAGGAAAGGCGAGAAAAAACATTATCAAAACAATGGGGAAAAAATACAGATCATTGTCATTTTTCATTTTATGCACATTAGCTATATTTATATAAAATCATAAAACACAACACATTTTCTAACCTTTTTGTCCCTTTTTGTTTTTTTAGGTCGTTATGAACCACATGAGGAGGAAGTGTAAGTGTCATGGGACTTCCGGTAGCTGTCAGCTGAAAACATGCTGGCAGGTCACCCCTGAATTCAGAGTAGTGGGCTCCATTTTAAAACAACGCTTCGACTACGCCACGCTCATCAAGGCTCACAACCGGAACACGGGTCAGCTGGACCACTCTCACCACGGCAACAATCACCACGGAAACAGCCACGACTTCCACCATAACAACCATCACCACAATAACCATCGGCATCACCACCACCACCATCGCCGGCGACCAAACTCCAACGAATTAGTCTACTTTGAAAAGAGCCCCGATTTCTGCGATAGGGACTTAAGTTCAGACTCAGCTGGGACTCTGGGTCGAATTTGTAACAAGACCAGTCCTGGTATGGATAATTGCGAAAGTCTCTGTTGTGGGAGGGGCCATAATATCCTCCAGCAAACGAGGAGTGAAAGATGTAATTGCAAGTTCCACTGGTGTTGCTATGTGGTGTGCGAAGAATGCCGAATAACAGAATGGGTCAGTGTCTGTAAATGATGAACTGAAATGAAAAATAAAAGACATTTTCAGTTTAAGTTTGACTGGGCTGGAGGACTGTAACAAGAAGCCCCAAGCTCTTTCTGCAATGGACTCCTGGTTTGAAGGAGGTTGAAAGCAGATACAAAAACTGCACATGAAATGGGAGCGGACGTTGAACTAGAGAATTGAATACGCTCCCAGACTAGTGTGAGACCATAGACTGGACATGGACTTTATTATGTGGAAGAACAACCAAAATGTGGTCTGATCTGTTAGAAAAACAACAAACAATAGATGCATAAACTGTATATCATATAAGCAATGGTGACTTGCTAATTTTCAATATATGCTGCAAAACAAGGTCCAAATTCATTTAACACATTTCCAAAGACATGCATAACATGTTTTTCATGTTCATCACAGTTACTGCCAAAGGGAAAACACACAGTGGAATTTTAAAGTTGCATAATTGTCAATGTAAATATACACCCTCATTTTCAACAAACTCATTATAACTCATTATAAGGAAGTATTTATCAAACTACATCATATACCTGATGCAAAATGGCAATAAGAGTGACTATATTGTAAGCTAATATAAAGACTGATACTACATGTTGCTGCTTTATGGAATTTGAGGTTAGCATAGCATTTTTAATGGAGTAATGGACCACTATTGATATTTTGCAGCTGATGTAATCAACATTCCCTTGGGGGTGTGATGCTAACTATAAGAACTGCTCAATCTGAGTCTTGTTAGACTTTAACCTGATCTTTATTTTAAAACAGTTTGACTAGAATGAACTGGCTTAGTTAGCACTACAACTGGTGATCTTACTTGTGCTGTTAAACAAGTCCCTCTCAATTAACCTTACAGTTAGCTAAAATTAGCAAACAGTTTTTCAGTCACTCTCACCTTTTTGGTTGAGAATCAGATTCCTTAACTGGACCATGAGCGAAATGAATGAAATGTGTTGTTTAAATCCATTTTCTGTTTTTTTCTTGAGATTTCAGATGATCTTAAAGCTGTTTTGGCAGTGTGTGGCAATGTGTGTATTGTGTCTCCATGGTAACTGATAAACATTCCACAATACACATACATGTATGACACCCATAGACTGTAAAAAAGAAGTGGACTGAGCGATTGTGACGTCACCCATGGCGTTCAGCTCCACTCAAATGAAGCTCCCAGTGCTAACGGTTACAGGAGCGAATTTGGAGCCCGGCTCCATATTTGGAAATCCGACCGCGAGTATCATAGCAACCACAAGACCCATTCATGATTGAGGTTATGCCTTAAATGTGCCCGCCCTTCTCACCGGAAAGCGAGAAGGGGCCTTACTTAGCAACGAAATGCACTAGCTGCTAGCTAGTAGTGGGAGCGACCTCGGGAAATGAAGGCATCTGATTGCTCCATTATTTATGTTCATATCTCGATTTAGGGACAAAATAGTGAAATGAAAAATTCAGGATCATGTAGAGCGGGTTAATACGAACATTTTAAGACCAAAATGATGAGGCTCACAGCAGCAGTTAAAGAGAGAGGATCCAAAAGATCCCAATGGAAGTCAATGGGAGTCAGGGTCAGAAGGAGCCAGAAGAGCCACCTGACACACTTTCTATTTGGAACGCGACGGCTAGTGCGTTAGCTACGTCTATTCATATATACGGTCTATGATAACACCCGCAGCGTGATGTCACTGCAAAGTATCAATAGGCCTATGCAATAACTTAATACACTGCAAATGGACAAGCAATTATGTAATGACCTGATTGGTCATCTAAGCCAGTGTATAATATAAACAATGTAAATATTGATAGAGTAATTATTAGTGCCTCGGTAGACTTGGCACAAGAACTGGCTTTCATTTTTCACACTAAAAACTTAGTGCACTGTGTAACCTTTCTGATGGAATGACGCCAACTGCTTGTTTCCATGGAGATGTGATTGCTGTTGTTCAGGGTATTTTTGAGCAATGAATAAATGTAAGAAAGAGTTAAAAGGGCCCATATTGCTCTGTTTCTGATTTATCTTCTAATATTGTTTTCTCAACAAAAACATACCTGGAGTTGTGTTTAGTTTCATTTACACAAACCTAGAGAGTTCATCTCTCAAACAGAAAATACTCAGTTTCACCTTGTGATGTCATGTGATAATACAGGAAGTGCTCCATGTGGTTTTAAATCTCCTACACATTCACTAGAATCATTTGGATGATTTCAACCCTGGACTTGCTCATCTCTACTCAGCTCTAGTCATTTGAAAACTGCCAGTACATGACATCACAAAGTGTAACAGACCATTTTGACCTTTGAAGATGTAGACAGACTTGTTTATGTTTTTGAGGAGGTATGAACATTATAACATGGATTACAGCTCATAAGAGTGAATTTTGTGCTATATAATGTTAATCAATACTGTAGCATTCCAAGCAAAGCGATTACATCTCCATGGATACAAGCAGATAGCAGACCTTCCTTCAGAAAAGTTACATAGTGCATCTTTAAAACTGTCTGTATTTGTGCATCACTATTTGTAGTATACACACATCATCCAGTTGTACATTTTAAATATTATCTTTTCTGCCATTGTACATTTAATCTTATTCATTGTGTGTGTGAGAGTGAGAGGCTTTCTATCAAACTGTAATTTATTTCAAATGTCTTGTGTGGAAAGCGCAAGATAAAATAATAATGTTTCTGGTGTTAAAGTTGTTTTTGCACATCCAGAATTGTAACCAAGAGATCTCTGGGAAATACCAGCTATATGCATTTCATGTCCTAATTGTAAAGTAATGTATTGTATGTATTTGTATGTTTTAATATGGTTAATATCTAAGTTATTTTTATTTTTGTGGATAACTTAATATTTGTAAGACAATAAAGATAAGGCCAAACCATGAAAAGGGGCTTTAATGTGATGAAATAATAAATGACATGAACGCAGTTCTGTTTTTTGTATTTGTCAGTGTGTGCTGTAGAATAAACTGTAGTAGCCCAAGAGTTAGAAGAAGAGGGATGAAGCTGGAGGAGTTTATTTACCATCAGTATAGGACACAGAGACATGAGCCCTCAAGACCTTGGGATTGTATGGTTGAGGATAGTATTGACCATTTACTAGTGTATTGACATTTGCCTAGTTTAGTCCAGTCCAGTCTGGCTATGCTTCTATTGTAGGTAGTATTATACAAGGTGTTGGCAGTGTAGGGCTGGTACATGACAGAAATACAATTGTACATACAATTGTACAATGCAATATAATACAATTGACTTAAAAGTCCACTGTTAGAGAAAATATTATACAAAATTGTGAGCTTTAAGCCAAGTAAGAATGTTATGACCTCCTCAAAAACATACCTGGTATTGTGTTTGGTTTCATTCACACATTCACATTGAGTAACCTTTTATTATTAGTCGGTCTACAGCTCCAAAGTACAAAATGGTCTGTTCCACCTTGTGATGTCATGAAATAGCAGTTTTTAAAGCTATCTACAGCTATCTTTGACCCTTCAGAACGAGATGGACACTCCCAGGGTTGAAATGATCCAAATGATTCTAATGAAGGTGTATAACGTTTAAAAAACACAGTGGGGCACTTCCTGTACCACTACCACATGACATAACAAGGTGGAACAGAGTGTTTTCAAGAACTCAGCCTGCAGGGTGTGTGTTAAACATGTGTGAATGAAACAATACATAACTCCAGGTATGTTTTTGATGAGGAAACAACATTATAACTTAGATTATAAAAGAGTATTATAGCCCTCAGTAACAGTGCCCTTTAATTTAAAAATATTTCTACTCAAGTATGGGGTGTGATTAAACTAACTGAAATAACTGTAATTATTTCTTTTTAAGCATATAAAATAGTCATCTGTCAAACTGCAATTCCACTGAAAGGCTAGAATTCAATACATAATTTCAAACTTTCCTCCAATCCAAGTACCACACAGTCTTAACATCAGCTTGTGTAGTGGAGCCATGAAGGCTTTATACTGGTCGGGGGTTTGCGTGCCGAGGAAACCCTGTTGAGCGTCCTCCCCGCTTGTATATTCTGCGCCCTGGGGGATGTGATGTGTCAAGTGTACGCCTGCAAGGGACACACTACACTCAGGCCAAACAGATGTGCTGTAAAAAAGGTGCTATTCCAGTTTCTATTCTTATCCAAACATACTTCCCCCGTCCCAGAGCAGGAGGGGCTCGCTCGTACCCCCCGCCTCTGCCCATCCCATCTGTGTAGGTTGACATGTACATGCGTCTTTTCACTGTATCCCATGCATGACTTCACACACTCCTCTTTTCACATGTCTAAATACTTAATGTTTGTTCTGCTGGTTACAGAGGTGGCTTGTATTGAGTTACATTTACTCAGTTACATTGAGTTTGGTAACTTTGTGAGCAAATTGAACGCATAATAGCAGTTTTACCTTCTACTGAATTTTATTATAGAATATTGTTTAATTTACAACCTAATTTACAATACTGTTCCTGCGTGCTGATTTGTCTCCATTGACCATTGCTGTTAATGAAAAAGAAGGTTTTGTCAGATAAAATCGTACGCAAAAATAATGCATTACTCTAAAATATTTAACTTCTTTAAGCATTAATTCACTCCACATACTCTACACTGGTATAAGTAACTTCTTTAGCCACAGCTGCCTTGTGGTGAACCAAGTCTGCATCTGTGGGTCGTCACACTCACTCACAAACAGGAGTACATTTATAGATTGGGAATATTGGTGAAGTGCCTTGCCAAGATACAACAACTAAAGTATGCACTGGTCAGCTGCTATTGAACCAGCAAAATAGCATCTTAAACATCTTTTACTCTACTTTTTGCTTTTAAAGGTGCAGGTTTTCTGGTGCAGGGTCCACGTAGAGATGTTATCGCTTTGCTTGCTTTTGCTTGTTCCACAGTACTAACTTATTTATCTCCATGGCAACAAGCGGGTTACTTCAACAGGAGAAGTTTCAGGTCAGATGTGCATCAATAAAACACATGTAATTTAAGAAATGCA